CCTGAGGAGTCCAAGGGGAAGCAAAACTAGAAACATTGACATGAGACAAGGGCCCATCAAAGTAAAACAGCAGAGGCACGGACTAGACACTGAAGGGAACACAGAGTACAAGGACAGGAGTGACATGAGAAGCAGAGGAACCAAAACCTAAGAACTAGAATTCCAAAATAGAAACCAAAACACTAACAGACTAAACAATGAGGAAAATAAAGATGAATAATGATACAAATGTCAAAACATTGGGTCACCGAGCCAGGACCGTGACACTGACTGTGCAGAGCAGCTGGGAAGTGGACCTGAGCAGAGAGTCCAGAGTGTGGAGAACTGATCTGAGCAAATAAAGAATGAAATCCAGGATCAGGTCTGAGCAGGAGAGCTGAGGAGGTGAAGTTGACCACTGAGGCGGAGCACAGTGGAGGGTGGATGAAAGGCAGCAGGTTTGGTGATCAGATGTGGCCGAGATGATAAACTTTCACTGTTCTACTTTTACAGTAATATTGTTTTTAAATGTGTTTTAGCTGTGAAGTCAGTTTTAAAACAAAGACAATCAGCTGTTCAGTCTGTTTCACAGTGAGACTCTTTCTAGACTCCTACTTTGAAAAACAAAAGTTACTAGAAATAAATCATCTCTAACACTCAGATGACAGAAGACCCCTTTGTAGAAATGACAATAAATGCACAGCTTTATTTATTACTGATATAAAGTTTGCAGAGATCACCGAGACACAATAGAGGCGATTCAGAGGTGATGCTCTGTGGTGACATCAGTGATGACATCATTATTCTCATCATTATGAGAAGCACAAAGGAAATTTCCTGTAAATATGTAGAAAGACTAGTTTACACAGGGAGACTAGTTCATCATTAGCACACTGAGTGATGAGTCAGTGATTCAGTGTTACCTTTGGTTCTGCATCGATACAAAGACACCACGAGGAGAGTGAAGTATGGACAAAACACCAGCAGGTGGAGGACCACTCTGAATGCAAGCTGGATGGAGCTGCAATCAGGGAGTGGAGCTGAGGAAGGGGGCACTGTTTCCATGGTGGCTCGCACTGTAGCTGTGGTTGTAAGTGTACCTGCAGAGAGAATCCCACCTGTTTAATCTAAATTGTATTTAATCAATTCACTGTTTCTTCAAATAAAAACATTACTCTTCCTCTTCACCTTCTTCCTCCTTCTATTTGACTTGGTGTCAGCATTCTTGTTTCCCCAAAACTTTAGAAAAGCAGAAAGCAGAACCTCTCTGCAATGAAAAGAGAACATGTTGGATTTACTTAATTCAGTAGTAGACATTGGTTGCACACAGAGGTTTTTCACCTTAAACAACTGAGTTAAATCACACAGGTCATTTGGGCCTATCCCAAATGTGATAGAGCGAGAGCCGGGGCACACCCTGGACATGCCACCAGTCTATTGCAGGGCTAACGCTGGAGAATATTTCCCAACTAACCTAACCCCAATAACTGCATGACTTTTAACTGTTGGAACCAGAGTACCCAGAGAGAACCCACTGCTAACTAGCTGGATTGCAGACGTGAACCCAGGACCTTCTTACTGTGAAGTAACCGCGCCACCAAGCTGTCAAGCCTGACTTCCCAAAAGTAGGAAATCTGTGGTTACAAGGCTTGATGCAGAATTTTCTTTACGTTTTTGTCCTTGACAGGTTAAACCACAATAAATAGCAACAACATACACATAGTTGTCTTCCTCTAATAACCCCAGTGATTTTCCTGTGGTTTGAAATCTCGTGTGATCTTGTGAATTTCACAAGTCCAGGCAATAAACTATTCTTACTAGATTGTATCATGTCATCGACACAAGATCAAATTAAGTTGTTGAATTTCATGCAGATCCCACATGATTTAATTATGTTGAGCATAGAAACATTAAATTGTTTTGTTCAAATTCTAAGTTAGTAAACTGTAAATGTAACAACCACCCAATTTCCTTTTCTTGCATGTGGTGCCTTTGCTTACACTTCAAATAAATCAGAGGGATGTTTTTCAGCTTTTTTTCACAGATACACTAAAATTACTGACTGAGTTACTGAAAATATTCATGATTATCGATCATATTTCATGTTGACAGGCACACGATTTGTCTTCTTGCAAACTGGAAAAACTGTGTTTCCAACCTTTTTGTCGTGACCTCACAGAACAGCAAATTAAAATGATGAAAATGAAAAACAAAATAAATTTATTTGTTGCTGTTGCTACGTTATAAGGTCAGCTCCTTGTCGGTTTTGCTTTGGTCAAGAGTTGCTCACAAACTAATAATCCACCACCAAAGAGAATCTGGAGTACATAAAACCACAAACAATGGCAAAAAATCCTCCGCTTCCTCATCATTGTCACCTGCCACATTTTTTCACCACTCAAAGCTAAAGAACAACATGTCTCCGTTATTTAAACCACTTTTGTTTGGACTGAACTGAGCTGCAGAGAAGACATTTACTGGTAGTTGATTTGTCTCCAGAATTGCATCTCTACAGCTTTCTGTAGTGCCAGTTCAAGTTGGCCCTTAGCCTGAGACACCTCATTACCATCAAACACATCCAGCACTGTTTCACACAATAAGACATGAAATAAACATAATGTTTTAAGAACAGATCAAAGTGAGTGAGATTAAAGCAACAAGGCAAGGATGAAATGCTTTTATGTAACTTAAGCCAGGTACTGTACTTGTTTCCACCAGCCTTGGACAGCTGAGGGAAAACAGGTTGAGGGTTGAATAAAAGTATAGTTTTTGGTGTAGAAGGTTCTACATCAAAAGAGTTCAGAGGATATAGAAGTGCTGGGCAATTTATTGAGGATTGCTTCAGCTTCACTGAACAGGATTTGGAGACCTTTGTCACCTGTTTGCCGTGTAAAAGAGGAATCAGTGACCCTTAGCTTACTCCCCTCAAACATGGTGTTTTACTGATGTCAACTCTTCCCCCCTAGCCTCTTTCTTAGTACCAACAAGATTAGTTCCATTATCAGACCAGACAGGCCAGATACATTTTAAAGTATTTGCTCGGATATGAACTTAAGTGGCATCTCATTCTTAATCCATATGGTTTAATATAATGTTGTCCCACTATTTTCAGCAATGGGAGCTTCTGCACTTCTGTGTAGGTTTTCCACAAGGTTTAGGAGTGCTAATGGGAATATTCGATCATTCTCCAGAAGTGTCACATCAGACACTGATGTTGGATGACAAGGCCTGACTTACAGTCTGCACTCAAATGGATCCCAAAGATGTTCTGTTGGGTTGAGGTCAGGTCTCTGTGCGGGCCAGTCAAGTTCTTTCACTCCAAACTCATTAATCCACCATCATCCGTGTCTTTATGGAACTTGCTTTTGTGCACTGTTAGAACAGGAAGAGGCCATCCCCAAGCTGTTGCAGAAAAGTTGAGAGTTTGAAATATTAAATTATACCTCAAAGTGGCAACATTGCTTGAAAGAAGAGTCTGAGTCCACATTACCTCTTCTTCTTTTTTTATATTTCCACAAACAATTTGGTCCACAAAGAGACTTCACCCTGTTTAAATCCTTACTAACTCTTTCATCTGTCGCCCAAGTTGACCTTTGACACCAGAGGGAGGAAACATTAGCACATCTCTGACATTTACAAATAATTTTCTAAGTGTGGTGCAAATGGTTCTGTGTGTAAAGATAGCCGGGACTTTTGAATTACATGACTTCTGTAAAAGACTTCAGTTGAAGTCATGTGACTTAAGAGAAACTGGTGAGCTTTACACTTTATCTGTAGACCTGCCTCGTTCACTCTGCTGCTGCTCTCTGAATAAACACCTGGCCACACAATCATAGCAAATGTTATAAACAAGTTACAGTGAAGTTATCAAGAAACCGTTTAATATGATCATTTCAGAATCAGAATCAGAGAAACTTTATGAATCCCAAGCTGTCAGCAGCAGAATACATACATGCAGCAGACAGCAGAGCAATCGTATAAAAAGAATTGTAGAAACAGAGATAAAAATATAAAAGGAAAGACATATTAACAGTAATGTTAGTGGGATATTAACAGGTATTATAGCTGCACAGGTATGCAAATGTACGTTGTGGTGTACAAAAAGTGACGGTTTGCAGTGAGGTGTGTTTACTGTGGTTCAGTATTTGTGGATCTGACCACGTGGTTGAATTAAAGAGTCTGACATCAGCAGGAAGGAACGGCCTCCTGTTGAAACCAAGGAGGTTGGAGTCATCGCCAGGTTTCTGTCACCAAAAATAAATGAAATAAAGTTCATGTGAGGTTAAAAGTTTAATTAAGAGTAAAAGTTTTGACTGCAGCATTCTGAGGGTCCTGTATGGATGTTACTGAGGTTGTGGGAATGTTCCTTGATAACCGGGTAACAGTTAAAATATCTGAAACAAAAGTTTTTTTCACATGTTTCTGCTACACTGATATTTTACCTTTTTCTTAACGTGACCGAGTTGGTTAAATTTAGTGGCGGGATGAGAACTGAACAGTAAGTATGAAAGTTTCCTGAAAGAACAAAACTTTTACTTATTCTGATGCACAAAATCAACTGTTTTTAGTGAGAGGCAGCAGTTCTGACAGCTTTTTGCACTGTGGCTGCTGAAAGTCGGGGTTTTGTTAGCAGTCGACTGTCCTCAGTTTGTTTTCTCGCTCCTTTGTTTATTTTGGTTCTTTCAGTTTACTTTCTTGTTTAAAGACATGACTCACTGTGTGCACTAGCATTCATATAGATAGGCTGCTGCTGCAAGCCCCACAGCACGGTGGACTAAACCATTTTTTTATCTGTAAGGGGTGAAATGGCATCACACCTACTGTTATCACAGCTAGTTAGGAATCAAAGTTTAGTCACCTGACTGATTTATTCATGAAATTTAAATATGACACTAATTACTAAAAAACAAAAAAAATGCAAACTAAAAAAAAAAATGTTTCAGGTTTGGATAGACCCCTCCCACCTCAGGGGCCCTGGGTAGTCCTACTCTTCCTCCACCGCTTCCACGCCCCTGCTTGCGTTGACACGATCACGGAAGACGCGGAAGACGCACGGATATTTAAACAACATTAAATGTTAATGTTTTTAATAAAGTCCAACTCAGATAATCTCACGCCCAGGATCTATCGATAAGGAAGTTTAAAGTTTTTTTTAAAGCTGAAGAAGGAAAAGTCCGAACACGGAAATGAGAGCTGGCAGGTCTGCGTGTCTCTGCTGGAGTTTACTGTCTGTCTGCGTCCTGCTGGTCTCTGCAGGTGAGACTCAAGCTGTTTTAAAGCAACATGAAGTATGAGAGTTCACTTTATATTACTCTGAAAAGTCCGTAATACTGAGCCTATAATATCTGTGTCATTAGTGTCTGTTTAACCTGTGCTGTGGAAACTCAGCACGCAACCCGATTTATTTGCAGTTATTCTGAAATACGCACGGCGGGGTGCTGCGCTCAGTTCCCAACAATTTCTTTTCACTAACACGACAAGGTCCGGAGAAATGATGTTGCTCTGCGCTGTCACTGAGGGAGGAGTTTAAGGTGTGCAGGAGGAGGTGGAGACTATATGGACTGCATGTTTCCAAGTGATTCATGTATTTTAAAAAACAGCTTTTACTATAACCTGCATATACTAGACCCGTTTTGGATAATTAATTGCAAAAGTTATGCATTTTTACTACCACCAAAAGTTTACTTTGTTCCCCTTTTTGGAACATTATGTTATAGCCTACAACAGGATTTTTACCAAAGAGTAATGCTGTGCAATACTACATATTCTTGTATTCATCCAATATCAAGTAAATAGCAGTATAGCTTTTAAGTCATAAAGGCAGATTATGTTGGGGGGAGCAGTGTGTTGTGATTTATGGGCTCAGTCATCCTCAAATTGAAAATTCTGAACACATTTTCAATCTGATACCAATATCATCACTGTACTGATATTTGCATGGATCTGCCCACCTCTATAGGAAGGGTTCAGAGGCCGATGTGCTCCTAATACCTGTCCCAAGACCAGATAGCTCAGTGCAGGTGAGCTGAGTTCTATCAGGGAGGGTACAGGGACGTTTCCCGGTGGCCTTGGGATCATTTTTGCCAGCCATGGACTTCAGCTGTGCAGGAAAGCATTGACAGGGCTCTGACAATCCACACATGTGGTGTGGCTGTGTTAGGCTCACTTAAAGACTGTTTGCTGTTACCAATGCATTTGTAGTTGTAGGGGACTGTAACACTGTCATGAGAACTCCCTCTGTTCCATTTGTCCACAGTGTTCCCGCAGAGACGGAGACCTGCTGATCTTTGAAGGATTATGAAGAATCTCCAAACAGTTTAATAGTAAAACGGCACCGAAAACAAGAAAATAAACAATTTAGATTAAAAGATAGATCATAAAAGGACTTAAGGGGCTCATAAGATTATAAAGTTACCTGAGCTGCCGTGTGAAACGCATGAAAATCCCACACTGAGTGGTCTCTTAGCTCCTTACTCTGATTGGCTACTATACTTTGAACCCATTAAACTCTCTGCTCTGAATTGTTTCTTCTTTCAGACCGCAAAATCATCACAGCGGATAGTGGACAGACTGCCACTCTGCCGTGTCGAGGTCCGAACAGCGACATCATAGGTGTGGAGTGGAGCAGAGCTGACCTGAAGACACAATATGTCCTTTTGTACCGGGACGAGCAGCTCGATCCAACAAACCAGCATCCGAATTTTAAGGACCGGGTGGATCTGCAGGACAGACAGATGACGGATGGAGACGTGTCTCTGATTCTGAAGGATGTGAAGACTGAGGACACAGGAACATATGAGTGTCGTTTGTTAGATGGGAAGTCCATCAGCAGCATCTACCTGAGAGTTGTTGATCCTCCAGGTGAGTGAGTAGAGTTGAGTGTGTGTGTGATCAGAGGTGAAGCTGCTTCCTGGTTGTTGATGTTTGTTTCTAAAGATGTTGTTGATGAGACTTTGTAGAAAGCAGCTGGTCTGAGTGATGTGATCAGAGTGCAGTAGATAATGTCTGACAGCAGTTTGAAGAGGAAATGGATTCTGTTCTGTTCTTCACTCATCACCTACCTGACAGCTGACACCTCACACCTGTTTCTCACCTGCAGGTCAGACAGGAGGACAGAGTGGAGATGGAGGGAAGGAGGATGGATTTGTTGGACTGAGAGCTGGTCTGCCTCTTCCTGTGATGTTCATCATTGCTGGCGTATTTTTAATTTACCGAAAACATAAAAAACGCAGGCGTCACGGTTTGTACTATCATGTGTGAACTGAAACTCTTTGTTGCACTACATGAAGCAGGAAAATGGTGGAGCGGTTTACAGTGGAGATGTGGCCATTACTTTTATTTATTTTTTGCACAGAAGGACAACAGAACAATGCTAAACTGCAGTATCCTGCTAACAGAACCTTGGCTCTTTGCAACCATTTGCACAGACAGCATGCTAACACTAAGTTAGCCAATAACACAGAGTGTTGCTGAAAGTGGGTGTATGCTGACCCCAGCCCAGCAGCCAGAGTCTGAACTTGAACAGGTAACAAAGGCAGAGATGATGAAATTGGTGTTTCTACCTGTCCGTGTTTCTATAGTAGAGCAGCTGTGGTGATCACTTTGAAGTCATCTTTGCTTTGTGTTGAAACCTGAATAATAAAAGAAAGATCATACGTGTGTCCTCATTAGGACAGGGATTTTTGTTGATGTGTGGGACTCGGTGTAATGACACCAAAGCTGGTTATAAGACACAAACACAAGAATCAAACTGAGCTGTTAAGAGTTTATGACAGAAACTGAGTAATTTGTCATGTGATCACATGAAGTCAGATTATATCAAGTAATTAATAGACATGGAACTATTTTTTCTTCTCTCCATTAAGTGTTTTCTCTTAAAGGTGAAGCTAGTTTTCCTCTCTATGAATTATAATGTAAAATGTCCTGTTTTTACAGTTTTGTAAACAAAGCTTTATATTTTATGCGCTAATGCTAACAAAAACTGTTTCATTTGTGAATGTGAAGATATCCTGTAAGTTGTCAGATTAATGTAGCTATTACAGTAAAATGACTCTTTGCACAGATAAAGCTTTACCTCCATGTGTGAGTGATCGAAGCAGATGCTGTATAGACATATTTGTATTCACTGAAATTCACAAGAACGTCTCGTGTGAAGTTCACATTTAAAAACGGGGTCTAAACGGTAAAGATGATTTGGTAGACAGAGGATGGAGGGTGGGTGGATGGATTGATGGATATTTTTTATACATCCAAATAAGAAAAAATGATTATAATTAAGGATTAAACTATATCACTGTACATTCGTGCTACTGGAAGGATTCATTAAATAGAATAACATCAAGTGAAACGCTACATGTATAAAGGCTACCTTACACCACAAAGCCTCGCTCTAAAAAGCTTTCACAGATTTAACACTGTCTGTGAAGCTGGGAATAAAGTTTCTATTTTCAGAGTATGTTTGGCACCATGTTGTGCAAGTACCGCATGTGATGTTACTGGGTTGGTTGGCTAATAGACTTCTATTCATTTATGTTAGCTAACTAGTGACAGATCAGATTACTTGGTGTAAAGTGAGAAGCAGTAAAAGGGTGTCACTTTTGTGAACCACCAGTGTACCCAACTCAAACTGGCTCTCCTCCTCACTCTTAAAACAGGTGGATTTTCATGTTTCAGTTCAGCTAGCCGATGTTGAAGAATCACTTGCTGCTAAAGAGACAGAGGTGTAAATTAACCTTTACACATGTAATGTTTCATGTCCACTTTAAATACAATGCAGGGATTTAGTGTAACACATGGGATACGTCCAAGTGAACACATTTACGTTAATTACTTACATAAAAGTCTTCTTAGCTTACAAAGTTTTTCTATCAGGCTGTAAAGATGTCGTTATGTAAACTTTAACAGATTGACAGGTGACAGGATATGATGTATGCTGCTGTAGTGAAACTGGAATGGGGTTTAAAACTTGTGATTTTAACACAGATAATTTATGCACTTTTTAATTTTATGATGTTTAAGACTTTGAAAAAGTATTTTCATGAAGTCAGAGCTCCTATCTTGAGAGCACAGGGTTAGCTTAATGTGACATCAGAGGCTGAGGAGGGGGAGAAGCTTCCACTTTATCTTTGTGGTAAAATGTTTCACTGTGTTTAAAGACATGAATAAAAACTGTGTTAAATCAATGTTTCTGTGCTGACTGTGTTGTTTTCTGGTAGAAGGAAGTTTCAGGAGGAAAAGGTTTTAAAACTCAGAGAAGCTGTGCTGAGCTGTATGTTCCTTCCAGGCAGACGCAGATCAGGGTGTGATCAGTTAAGTAAAGACGGCTAATGCCCAGGAGTGCAGGGTGCTGTCCTCAGACATGCAGTTTTACTAACGCACAGACATGAAAAACGGAGAGAGTATAGAGCGCTCTTCCAACAAAAGGTCAAAGGTCAGTAAATGCAACATAAAATCCAAAGCAAAGAATTACTCGGACATAGAAATGGTGATTAGTGATCAGACGTCTGAATCTGGGACTTTTACTGTGAAAGGGTTTTAAAAAACTGCTAATTAATAACCAGACAATACAGACCAAAGAGAATTGAGGGAAACATTTACAGGCTGGATTATAAAAAAATCAAACAATAATCAAACATCTTATTTGGTCTCTTATGACAGAAAAACGCTGAGCTCAGGCATTTAAAGAAGACATTAAGATTAGAGACTTGTTGCCTCACACACTGACCACACATTGGTCTTTTTGTAGAAAGTATTTGTTATTAGTATCATGTAGTCCATCCCAAGCTTCTCATTGACTCTTGAAACAAAAGGCAGTAAACTCTTGGTGTGTCCTCTATACTAGACTACAGGTGGACACAGATGTAGTCTAAAGGGGAAAAGTCTTTCAGGTCACATCAGGGAAAGAGGCTATCCTAGATCATAGAATATTAAACAGATTCAAAGTCTAATCAGAATTCCTGATGGGTGTAAAGGAGTAGCTTCTTGAAGCAGCCAGCAGGTGGCAGCAGATCACCTCTTCAGTATCCTTAGAGAGCAATTTAGGATGTAAAATTGGATTCAGAATTCAGCATTTCTCCATGAGTCATTGAAATAGAGACAAAGATGGTTAAAAACTACAACACAGAGCAGAGAAGTGAGTGCAGAAACAAAGAAAATAGAAGATTGTTTAACACAGACAGGCGACTAAGACAGAAACAGATGTGATGCCCATATGGAAAAGAAATAGATAAAAAAAAAATTATAAAAGACTTGCATAAGATGTGGCCTACTTCATACAGTGAATCATATAAGGCTTATATGATTTACTCATGAAAGTGGCCACTTTCTCATTACTTTCATATATTGTTTTAATAAGTATCCAAGTATACAAGTTTCATTTATATAATTTTTCAAGGGATCTTATATCTGTTTTCACTCTTGTATGCTTTTCATACAAGTTTCACACAAGAAAGATACAAACAGATATCTCCAAGCTCTTAACCATGCTGCACTCAGTGAGCCCATTCTGAGAAGTCGGGCCTCGTCCCATCGTTTCAATCCCAGCGGGCAGCGTTGTGGGGGTTTGAACAGCCGGTTCCGCTCTCTTAATTCTCCGATAAGCCAGGGCCAAGCCAGCTCCGATCAGCAAGAACCCTGTTATCATGGTCCTGAATAGGTAGATATCTTCAGCGTCCTCGATCGACAGTCCCGCCAGGCACATGATCCTCCATGTCTGCCACCCGTCCATCGTGTATCCGGCAGGGAAAGTCCAGGCACTTGGGGTCTCCCGAGCCCAGACTTCTCGTTGAGAAAAGGGTGTCAATAGCATTCAGAGACCAGTTGATCAAATCCATAATTCTCTTTAGGTTTTAGAAACAGACTGTGAGAGAGTGTTCCAGGGAAAGTAATGCAGACAAGACAAGGACACAAGAGGCCAAGCAGGGAAGATAAGGGAGAGGAGAGGAGAAAAGTGTGTGACCGCCTTCGCCGAGAGCCAAATGAGAAATATAAGATTTATATATACCTTTCCATATGGGTGTGTCATCTGCAGTGTTGGTCAAGTTACTTGAAAAAAGTAATCAGTAACTAATTACTGATTACTCCCCCCAAAAAAGTAATCCCGTTACTTTACTGATTACTTATTTTCAAAAGTAATTAATTACTTAGTTACTTAGTTACTTTTTAAAAACACAATTTACAACCTGAAGAGGTGATAAAGTGATAGATCTTTCAGCCCAATTCTACTTTTTCTGCATAATCCATCATACAAAATGTAATCAGATGGAAAAGTCTCTTTTTTTTAACTTGTTTTATTAGTTTTAATCTTTTAACTTTATGCATCAAGCAAAACATTTAATTATATGCAACATTCTGACTTGAATAAATTAGTTTAACATTTAAACCTATTTTCTACACATTCCAGCACATAAAATAAAACATTTTTTGTGTTTTCACTCACTCTTTCAAACAGATGCAAGTAAAACACAGCAGAAAATAAATAAAGTCAAAGACTCAGCGGTCCTTTTGCTCTATTTTCACCTGTAAAGCAGGAGCAGGGTAGGCGGAGGTTTACCCTGGTGCAGGTGTGCTGCGGTCAGTTGAAGAATCCGCGCGAGTGTCTCTGTGAGTTTCCCATCACGTCGTAGCTACTCGGTGCTTGCTCCGAAGTTTAGGGGTTTTTTTCGCTGTAAAAAGAAGTTTTCTTCCCACGCACGATGGACGCTAATGTTTTTGTCACTCTTTATGGAATCAAACTCAAAGTAAGGTCAGTACTTCCACACTTTAAACGCTGCACGCTCATACTCTCTCCCGCACTCGATATATTATCCATTGTTGATCTGCACACAGCTGCTGTCACCAACGTCGCACTTGCTTACGTCACTGTCATGAGACATTCTCGCAAAAAAAATCACGGTTTTAGTAACGCAGTAACGCAGCGTTCCTACGGGAAAGTAACGGTAATCTAATTACCGATTTTGCAATAGTAATCCCTTACTTTACTCGTTACTTGAAAAAAGTAATCAGATTACAGTAACGCGTTACAAGTAACGCGTTACTGCCCATCTCTGGTCATCTGTCCATAACTCTGGTTTTCAGAGCTAGCCTAAAGCTGCTCTCAGAAACACGGAAAACACACAGTGACAAAGGCTTAACTCAGTGTGAACACACCCAGAAATGATTAACAGCATGATCAAGGAACAAAAAGTCGGAGCTTAAATTAGACTCACAGTTTTTTAAACATGCTTTATCTGTGTCTGTAGCTCAGACTGACATTTGAACCAGAAGAATGACACATTAGAACATTTACTCAGCTCGCCATCAGTCTTTGTTCATACAGCAGGGACCAAACTAGGTGCAGAAACGCATTAATGAGGTGTGTCTGTAGGAAATGTACAGATATTTATTTTACCTCTCCAAAAGCTGATTCTGTTCATCTGTACGTAGCGTTTTGTGGGAGAAACGTTTCATCACTCATCCAAGTGACTTCTTCAGTCTCAGCTGGCTGCAGGTTTCCCCAAATCAGTGGGTTTTGGTCAGTGGTTGTTGATCAATGGTCATGAGAATTTGCACAGTAAAGATTAAGGAACTGACCTCCCAGCTCATTGTCCCTTCAGTGGGCTGGTTTCAGTCATTATGCAAATGTGCTGTTTATATGATCGGGGAAACCTTCAGCTGAGACTGAAGAAGCCACTTGGATGAGTGATGAAACGTTTCTCCCACAAAACGCTACGTCCAGATGAACAGAATCAACTTTTGGGGATTTACTTGCCAGGATGATTGTGCATGCATCAAGTTATTTGTCTGTGAAGGTTCTCAGTCATCCAGGTCATCGTAGTCAAAGGAGCTTGCAAAGAAAAGCGTCTGGACTAAGTTCTAAGGTCAAACCTTGTCTCAGGCGATTAGAGGATCATCAGGGGGTCCTTTTGTCCCTCTGTGGGGGGTCACTCCCACTAGGTTTATATCTGGGACTCTCCACCATTTGACCTTAGAACTGAAGAAGCTTCTCGGATGAGAGGTGAAACGTCTTCAAGTAACTTAAAGAAGTCCAGACACTTTTCTTTGAAAGCTCCTTTGATATCAAGTTATTT